AAAAAAAAAAAAAGAAAATAATACATATTGGTTTTATCTATATATATTATGGTAGTACATACATAAGAGCTCCAGGATAGTAATATCACAATTATTGCTAACAATATGATTGCTAAAAACAGTTTGAGATTTCTTTGCAATTCTCTTTGTCTTTAGTGGATATACCACAGTTGAATTCCATTTTATTCAAGTCGGTTGAAATAATTCTCTGGGTTAGTAAGTCACCCACTTGATATATAATTAGGCCTGTTTATTTCCATTAGGATGTTGGCATTCAAAGATGGCATGTTTCTAATCTTTGATTTAATTTTGTAAGGACATTTACATAGTCCCAAAGTAAAATATACAAAATGATTCCTGTATAATTAGCACCACAGACAAACCTTGACATCCATTCATTCGATAAATATTTGTGCTGCCTGGAATACAACAATGACCAAGTTTCATCCCCTGCCCTTGAGGAGCTTAGTCTGTTTTAGCAAACCTAGCTCTAGGCAGATGAATTAAAATCTGACACAATAAGTGTTACACTTGAAGAGAAAGAAAAGCACTCAGAAGGGAAGAGGTTATCAGGACTGGAGTAGAATCTTTAAGGATCAGTAGGAGCTCATCATGAGACGTCCTGAGAGCTATGTACCTGTGTGCAATCTCTCGCTCCCTTTAATGAATATTCATTTCCAAGTGCATCCACTTATAACCATCTACTTTCTGTCCCAGAACAGTCCTGACATGGTAAGTGACTCCACCCTGGGATCTGAGTGGTGTGCAGGGGGATGTGGGCCATGTGGGTGTTTAAGAATACACTAAATCCTCACCTGCATTACACCTCACCTGCATCATACTCCCCCTCTACGGCAAACCTCCTTGCCCTGCTTATGAAATTCTATGGAAACGAACCTTGCAAATAGCAACCCAGAAAGGCAATTCTTTGGGCAGACAAGTGGTAGAGGGCTTTGACTCTATTTGTCTCAGTTCCCAGGCAGGTGTCCCTTTGCTGCGCAAGACATTCACAATCTCAGTCCCCAGCAGCCTGCTCTCTAAACACTGCCTCTTACCTCTTCAGCTCACTCCCTCTGGGATTTGTAGGCTGGTGATTTTTTTGGTCCTGTGGGGCCCTATAATCCATGGATCCTACCATTCTCTCATTGCCTCTTACTCCACTTATAAAGCAGCTGCCCTCCTTACCCAGCCAAGATGCCAAGGTCCATCACGATCACGGCTGTGCCCTCACCCTCCTTTCCCTTGCGCCTCCTGCCAGTGTCTCCAGCTCTACACCCAGTGGGCTCTCTGTGCTGTGTCTGCACTCGTGGTTGGACAAAAACACAACCCAATGCCGACTACTTCCAAATTGATTATCCCTCATCCTAAATGAGCCCTGAGTGCTGCCTGGCAATTATGCTCCACTCCCACCCCCACCTCGCTAGATGATTATTTCCTATCCTCGCCTCTCTGCCACATCTTCTCACTCAGCCTTACTCTCAGCTGTGACTCCTGCTTCCTGACTAGGGCAGTGCTATGCAGGCTGTATTTTAGAAAGAGAGAGGCAGAGAGATGTGGGGACTGGCTGCGAAAAGTTGGACTCTGGAGAGAGATATTTTTACAAAGACTTCTTCTCCCTAGCAGAAATTCAGAAGTGGGTGGGAAATTATAATTTCCCCCATTGGCACGATGTCATTGAGGACTTAGATTGCTTTGAAAGAGTTTGTAAAAATTGGATTTGTGGCTCTTGTGGTACTTTGAATGCTTTTTTTTTTTTTTTTTGAGAGAGAGTCTCACTCAGTCACTTTGGGTGCTGTGGCATCATTATAGTTCACAGCAACCTCAAACTCCTGGGCTCAAGGGATCCTCTTGTCTCAACCTCCCAACTAACTGGGACTATAGGCACCCATCTTTAGGCACCCAGAAGTATAGGCTGGGACTATAGGCACCCAGGTACTTTAGGCACCCAAAAGTAAACCTGGCTAGTTTACTTTTAGTAGAGCTCCCAACTAGCTGAGACTATAGGCACCCACCACAACACCTGGCTAGTTTTCTTTACCTTCAGTAGATACGGGTCTCACTGTTCCTCAGGCTGGTCCCCTGAGCTCAAGCCATCCACCTGCCTCCACCTCCCAGAGTGCTAAGATTACAGGTGTGATTTTTCTTTTAAACATAGCCTCCTCCCTTAGACTGTAAGCTCCAGGAGAGCAAGATGTGTGTCTTAGTCTGTTCAGGAAGGTGTAACAAAATGCCATATACCAACAGGTGGCTTATAAACAATAGAAATTTATCACTCACAGCTCTGGAGGCTGGAAAGTCCAAGACCAAGGCAGTGGCAGATTCAGTGTCTGGCAAGGGCCTGTTTTGTGGTTTATAGATGGTGCCCTCACTCTGTGTTCTTACATGGTGGGAGGGAAAGGGAGCTCTCTGGGCAGTCATTTCAAGGGCACTGATCCCATTCCATGCCCTACTAACCCCCCTCCTAGTACTGTCAGCTTGAAGATTAGGTATGCACATGTCATCTTGGGGGGACACAAACTTTCAGACCTTAGCAGTGTGTCTGTCTTTGTCATCCCTGTGTCCCCAGCTTGTACCACAACAGCAATTGTCACATAGTTATTGAGGGAAATTATATGGAATATAAATGAATCAATGGACTAAATTCAATCCTTTTGTTTTCTTCCCTTTTTAGGTGAGGGTGGGAGTATGTCTGTCTTTGGACTGCTGATGAAAATGAACTTGAACTATTTGTTACTGTCTGCTATCAGCCAGGCCAAGGGTTTGATCGGGGCTGTGGTTTTCTCTATGGGAGTGGGGGTGGGGGGGAGACAGCTCTGGGGCTGGGCAAAGGAGAGAAGCAGAATGGTCACATACATTACCTCCACACTCAGGCTGCGAGCCGCTCCACCAGCCGTCAGCTTGACAGGTTCGCTCTGATGATCCCCGGAGCACGTGGCCAGCTTCACAGCTGAAGCGCAGCAGGCTGCCTGGGTCAAAGCTATCCCCTAGTCGGATGCCATGGGCTGGGATCCCAGGGTCACCACAAACTCCCGTGCTGGTTCCTATGGACCAGAATCAGACAAACCTCACTTTTTTTGCATGAAAGAAAAGGGAGAGGAGGAGTTAGAGAGAGAAAGAGATCAGGTCGTGACTAAGGGGAAGCAATGGGACCCACGAATGAGGGAGGTGACACCTGAATGCCTACCTAGCCCGTTACCTGGACAGGCTCCTGCCTCACTACTCAACAGATAAAGAACACAAAGGTCTGAGGCCGTGGCAAGCCCCTGGGAACCAAAGAGGAAAGGAGGCAAGGAGGCAGAGGGAAGACCCTCTCATGGAAATCATGCCTTCCTTCTCTGGCCCAAGCCAGTCTAGGACTTCAGTGGTCCAAGCTGGTGCCATGTCCTCCTCTTCCCTTCCTCTCTCCCTACCTCCCCAGCACCTGCTGGTTCTGTGGTACCCTCTCCATCCCCAGTGCCACTGTCTGGCCCAGATGCTCAACGTTCTCTTGCCTGAAAGATGGCAGGGACCTCTAACTCCAGACAAGGGAAATTTTAGTTTGGGATAGATGAAGCTTTGGACTACACGCTCTGGGCCAGAAGAATGGCCATGTGGTTGGGTTACATATGCTAAGGGTAGAAGGTGCTCACAGCTTTCTCTCTGTGCATCCCTTTCCCATGGAGAACAAAGATCCCCCAAATAAATTAAATAGACTCTGAGAAAGTCATTAGCCCATTGTCCCGGAGAAGTGCCTAGAGGGAAGAAAAGGGATTATCACAGGAGGGACTTGGGAAGTGTGCGCTCGGCTCCCTTCCCCTTCAGCAAGCCTCTTCCTCCTGGATTTGCTCTGTGGATACCCCGGAGATGCTCGTTTTCTCTAAGCCACTTCCACCAGGAGCCCCAACAGAAAGGAGTCCGGGGCCCAGCTAGCAGCAGGCCTTGCTCTAGCCAGGCTACCTCGTGGCTCATAGACAGTTCTCGGTTTATTTATTAGGTGATGAATGAGTTAATAGGGGGATGGGCCAAAGTCCTGGGTGATCACATGGAGTGGTATGTCTGGGGTTTTCCTGGGCAGCCAATAGCCTTTTAAAACAGTAGCTTCTGTACTCTCTACTTTCTGAAAATAACTACTCTCTGGTTCAATGTCTGGGCGGTGTCCTAAATTTTGGAAGACAGGCTCATCTGGGACTGTCAAACTGTGAGAAGAGCTGCACAGCTTATGGGAAGGTCCCACGTTGAGCAGAAGGCTTCCGTGCTAGGAGGAGATCAGGACCCTTATCACTGGAAGGGAGCTGGCAGGGGGACGGCTGGGGTTCATTTCAATTTCAAGGTGAGCAGCTGCCCTCTTGAGAGTGACCTGCAGAATGGGATCTCTTCCTAGGGCTGGCCATGCTCAGCTCAAAGACGACAAAGCTGCGAGGTGTTAATTTTATTAGTTTGGTGGCTTCTGTTATTGGTGGGAAAATCCCCCTTCAAATATTCTGTTCAGATCACATGGACGCGGGAGCTCTGGCAGGTCCCCACACTTGCTATTTTGACGTCTCTCACTATCTACATAGAGATTAGCAGTAAGTAAATTAATAGGAAAGGTCTGGGAACTGGTGTTTTAGGGCAGTAGGAAAGAAGACTGTACCCCACTAGGCAGCCAGGACATAGGACAAGTAGGGGGCAGTGATAAGGAAGGGTAGGAAGTACTGTGGAGTCTGGGAGTCTGAGATGGGGCAGTGAAGGACCTAGGAGTGGGTCTGACTTGGGCTGATCAACACGAAGGTTTGGATTGCTTCCAGGAGCTCCTAGAATTAAGAGTCTGGGTGTCTGGAGGGGACTCTGGCCAGAGGTTGACCTCAAAAGTTGTGCCCAGGTTGGGCATGGTGGCTCATGCTCCTAATCTCACTTTGGTAGGCCCAGGAAGGAGGATGGCTTGAGGCCAGGAGTCCAAAACAGCCTGAGCAACATAATGAGGACCCGTCTCTAGCAAAAAAAATAGAAAATTAGCTGGGCATGGTGGTAGGTGCCTGTAGGCTCAGATACTTGGGATGCTGAGACTGAAGCCCAGCAGTGTGAGGCTACAAGGAGCTGTGATGACACCACTGCACTCTGTCCTGGGCAACAGAGTGAGACCCTGTCTCAAAAACCAAAAAAGCAAAAGCAACCCCCCCCCCCCCAACTCAATCTCCCTCCCTTGCCGCCCCAGTTGTGTCCTTCCTGGTTTTGCTGGGTGGGAGTCCAGCTGGGCCTCTTCCGGTTGTGTTCTCTGCCTGCAGGGAAGGGACAGGGTGCCTAAGGATTCCCGCTCAGTCAGTCAGCTCACACCTTGGGAGCTCAGCCAACCACCCTCAGCCACGAGTTCCGCCGAAGCCCTTCCCCAGGCCACGTGCCATACCTGAGCAGTGGGGGAGGGAGCCAGTCCAGTGTCCGTCCAGCCCACACATGCGGGTGGCATTTCCCACCAGGGTCCGCTTGCCGGTGCAGCTGTAACGCACCACCGCTCCCACAGTAAAGCTGTCTCCAGACATCTGGGCATGAGGCGGGGAGCCCGGGTGGCCACAGGATACCACTGTGGGGAAGAGCCAATAATAGCTCAGCAGCTCTGCACAGGAAAGGGCTGCCATCACACAGCACATGCCGGAGCGGGGCAGAAGAGGAACCCTTGGGTCCCTCCTGCTGGCACACCCATCTGGCATACAGACAGTGGCCACCCACCCACTGGGCAGCTTCTGTGACCGGAGGAGGAGTGTCTTCTCTGCCTGTGGCAGGTACACGTCAGTTTCAGTTTCTCCTGTCATGCCTCATGCGTCCTCCTCTCCCTATTCCTTCACTGCCATAGGACACACCCAAGGTGCCTCCTGGCAGGAAGATGGCACACATAGTATACATAAGACAAAATGAGAGCACTGTCATCCTCGGACTGTCTTCACTGGCTGCAGCTTCTAGAACGAGGGCCCTAATGGCATCTTACAGTCACTTTATCCATTGTCCCCACCATGTCCCCCGCAAGTTCCCTTTCCTGAAACACTGTGGTGCAACCGTGAAAACCAGGGATAAGATCAAAACAACAGATGTACAAGCCAGGGTGGGGACAATGCTGACAATGTCACTGGGCTTGGGCTCCCACAGTGATGGATCGGGTGCCTATTACATGTTACCGTTTTGTATGTTTGCGAGAGCAGAGTCCGTGCTGTCACGGAGTTTACCTTCTAACAGGGAGGAAGGACGACCAATAAGAAAACAAATAGGTAATTCCAGGGGAGCTATGAAGAAAAGTAAAACTGTAACAGGAAAGGGGTGCTCAGGAGTGAAGTGAAGGTGCTAGTTTTTTTTTTTTTTTTTTGAGACAGTCTCACTATGTGACATCACAGCAACCTCTAACTCTTGGGCTTAAGCGATTCTCTTGCCTGAGCCTCCCAAGTAGCCCACAACAATGCCTGGCTATTTTTTTGTTGTTTTTGCAGTTGTCATTGTTGTTTAGCAGGCCTGGCTCAGGTTTGAACCTGCCAGCCTTGGTGTATGTGGCCGGTGCTGCAACCACAGTGCTGCTACGGGTGCTGCCCCCAAGGTGCTTGTTTTGAATAGGGTGGTCAGAGAAGATGTCTCCGAGGAAGGTGACATGTGAGCAGTGACTTGAGTGCTATGTGGAGGTAAGCCACCATGATTTGGGGAAGAGCCTCGTGAGGGAAGGAGCATTAGGCAGGAAGGCCCAGAGGCTGGAGTGAGCGTGGTGTGTTTGAACAGCCAGAAGGCCAGGGATGCTGGACTAGGATGAGCAGAGGAAGAATGGAAGGAAACAAGGCTGGAGACCTCACTAGGAGTCAGATGACAGCATGGAATTTGGATTTTATTAACATTATAAGCATTTGGGGAAGCCACTGGAACAATATGATCTAATCATACTGGCAATTGTATGGAGAGAAGACCAGGGTGGGGCAAGAATGAGGGAACTGTCATGGTTGAAGAAGAGATCATAATTATTTGAATGAAATCTTAGGTAGGAGATTCTTGACGTCATGGCTTGCACGGAGAAAGGGCACAGGGCATGGCACAGATACTGACAGAGACAGGGGACCGAGGCTGTTCTCGATGACGTTATTTTGGCAGAGAATAGGGATGGCAAGGCTGGATGGTGTTGGGTGACTTCACTTCTCACTGTGGCCTTAGATAGGCTGAAAGCGATGCCCCCTGCACCCAACAGTTAGCCAAATTGTGAATGCAAATGAAAAGGTCTTGAAGGTAATTAAATATGCTGTTGCGAACAATCAGAAAGCAAGACAGACATTGCTGATAGGGAGAAAGTTTTAGCCGCATGGATAAAAGATCAAACCAGTCACAACATTCCCTTAAGCCAAAGCCTAATCTACAGTAAGGCCCTGATTCTTAATTCTGGGAAGGCTGAGAGAGGTGAGGAAGCTGCAGAAGAGAAGTTTGAAGGTAGCAGAGGTTGGTGTGCGAGGTTTAAGGAAAGAAGCTGTCTGTGTAACATCAAAAGTGCAAGGTGAAGCAGCAAGTGCTGATACAGAAGTTGTCACAAGTTTTCAAGAAGCTCTAGCTAACATCACTAATGCTGCACACTAAAAAACACATTTCCACTGTAGATGAAATAGTCTCCTACTAGAAGAAGATGCCATCTAAGACTTTCATAGCTAGAGAGGAGAAGTCAAGGCCTCGCTTCAAAGCTTCCAAGGCAGGCTCTTGTTAGGGGCTAAAGCAGCTGGTGGCTTTCAGTTAAAGCCAGTGTTGATTTACCATTCCAAAAATCTTAGGGCTCTTAAGAATTTAGCTCGTAGGCTAAATCTACTCTGCCTATACTCTATCTAGAAATAGAACAGCAAAGCCTGGACATCTGTGTACAGCATGGTTTATTGAATATTTTAAGCTCACAGTTGAGACCCACTGCTCAGGAAAAAAGATTCCTTTTGAAGTATCACGGCCCGTTGACAATGTACCTAGTCACCCAAGAGCTCTGATGGAGCTGTACAAGGAGACTCGTGTAGGGTAGAGAAAACTCTACTCAAGGGTAGAGAAAACAACGCAGGTTGTTTTCAAGCCTGATAACACAACATCCATTCTGCAGCCCGTGGATCAAAAAATAATTTCAACTTTCAAGTCTTAGTATTTAAGAAATACATTTCATCATAAACCTATAGTTGCTATAGATCCTCTGATGGATCTGGGCAAAGTAAACTAAAAACCTGAAAAGGATTCACCATTTCAGGTGCCAGTGAGAACATTTGTGATTCACGGGAGGAGGTCAAAATATCAGGACGAGGCTTGTCACCTGTAGCACAGTGGTTACGGCTCCAGCCACATGCACCAAGGCTGGCGGGTTCGAACCTGGCCCGGGCCAGCTAAACAACAACTGCGAGAAGAAAATAGCCAGGCATTGTGGTGGGTGTCTGTAGTCCCAGCTACTTGGGAGGCTGAGGCAGGAGAATGGCCTAAGCCCAAGAATTTGAGGTTGCTGTGAGCTGCGATGCCACAGTACTCTACTGAGGGCAACATAGACTCTGTCTCAAAAACAAACAAAAAACCCAAAATGTCAGCATGAACAGGAGTTTGAAGGAAGCTGACTCCAACTCTCATGGATGACTTTGAGGGATTTAAGACTTCAGTGGAGGAAGAAACTGAAGATATGGTGGAAACATCAAGAGAAGAGCCTTAGAAGAGGGGCCTGGGAGACATGGCTGAATTGCTGCAATCTCACGATCAAACTTGAACAGACGAGGAGCTGTTTCTTGAGGATGAGCAAAGAAAGTGGTTTCTTGAGGACCAATCCTCTCCTGGTGAAGATGCCATGAATATTGTGGAAGTGCCAAGGGAAGATTTAGAATATCGCGGAAATTTAGTTGCCGAGTGGCAGGAGTTGAGAGCATTAACTCCGAATGTGAAAAAAAATGCTACGGCTGGTAAAATGCTACAGAGAAATCTTGCATGGCAGGAACAGTTCATCAATGTGGCAAACTCCATTGCTGGTCTTCTATTCGGCAATTGCCACAGCCACCCCAACCTTCAGCAACCACTTCCCTGATCAGTCAGCAGCCATCAGCATGGAAGTGAGATCAGGATTATATGAGCAAGAAGATTAGGATTAGCTGCGTGCTCAGATGATCCTTATTATAAACATATTATTAGAAATAAGGCATTTTAAATTCAGGTATATACATTGTTTTTTAAACATAACGCTATTGCACACTTAACAGACTACCATATAGAGCAAATATAACTTTTATCTGCACTGACAAACAAATAATTCATGTGGCTCTTTTTATTCTGATATTTGCTTTACTGCAGAGCTCTGGAACGGCACCTGCAGGATCTCTCAGATATGCCTGTCTAGCAAGATAATGATATATTAAATCAATATTATCATTAAATTCAGGTAAAATAAGCATTGGGGCAAAACGTTAATATACCTGGGGTCACTTTATAATGACAAAAAGCTTCATTTGACCATAAGATAAACTAATTTGAAATCAGCAGCGGCCCTGAATCTCAGCTGGCACCACTGCACACTGGTGATTGTCCATTTCCAGCCCCAATTTGTTGGTCATAAAAGGGGTTGGATGTCTTGTTTAGGACCTACGGGCAGCAAGCAGCTCTACCATCCCCTATGACACCTACAGGCATGTGGGCATAAGGAGATGGAGTCTTCAGACTGGAGGGCACACAGATGCATATTGTCCATTAAAGGTCTGCTGAATGCCCTCAACTCAACACCCATTACCTGCTCTGGAGCACATCTCTACTATTGGGAAAGGATAATTCATAAGGTTCACCTTTAGGAAGCAGAGGAGAGCGAGCAGGAGGCCGAGGGTCTGCTCACTGGATGAGCCCAGTGACTAGATGTCGGGATTCCAGTATCTCCCTGAACATTTTTTTTTTTAAAAACATGTCATCTTCATATCTTTTCCTAATCATAAGTAAGGCAGTTATTGCTCATGGAGTAGCTACTAGGCACCAGAGACTATGTTGGCACTTTCTATAGAGTTTTAAATTTTATCTCCTAATAATCCTATGGAAAAAGTATTACAGATGAAGAAACCAAGGCTCTGAGAGGTTCATGGATTTCTCCCAAACCACACAGCTCGGTCAGTGGCCAAGCCCAGATTCAAGTCCAGGTTGCTCTGCCTCCAGCACCTGGGGTATTTCTGCTTCTGTCTTTTCAAGGGAAGGGGTAAAATGGGGACCTGGTGTCCCAGTAGGCAGCCAGTTCTGAAGGAAGCCAAATCTGAAGTCTGAAGAGGTTGGTGGCAGTACTAGAGAGGAAAGGGACCAGGCCTTTACCCAGGAAGAAGAGAACACACGAACTGGTGTGGCAGCTAGCCTGGAGCCCGTGGCTCAGGAGGGCTGTGCCATCCCAGGAGCAGTCCGAGGGTGACGCGCATATGTGCACACACCCACACACAGGCACAGACAGGAGGATGCATTCTTTGCCAAGGGCCACCCCATCAGTCATTTTGAGCAGTGACATGTACTTACAGAGACACTGGGGGCGAGGACGGTCCCACGTGCCGTCTCCCTGGCAGCTGAGCACTGGGGTGCCCAGGAGGTAGAAGCCGTGGTTGCACTGGAAGGACACGGTGGTGCCGTAGCTGAACCTGTGCGGGCCGCTGGCGTGGACTTGACGGACGCTGTTTTCTTGGTGTCCGGGATCTGTGCAGTTGATGACTATAATTGAACAGGGTAGTCAGAGGCAAAAATAGGGACAGACATGAGCATTTTCTTAAAGTGGTAATTCAGAAGTCAAAAGCAGCACATATTCTAAGTACAGAGAAACCTCCATACTGAACCCAGGAGATGATTCAGATCCTGTCTGGAGGGTGAGTCGGCTGAGGTGGCTGCATGTCCCCCATTCCTGCCTGGGTCACCTGGTCAAGGGGATCCACCCTTCTGCATCCAGTTAGATGCAATCTCCTTAGAGAAGCCTCCCTGCTCTTTCCAGACTGGCTAACCACTCCCTTGCCAGCTCACCCTCGCACCAACCTCTGCTGCTGACTTCCCAGCCTGCACTGTGGTTTATCTGAACACACGGGTCCCTTGAGGGCATGAACGTCTAGTCTCTGTGCCTCCACAGAAGAGCTCAACACGTGTTAAACTGGCTCACTTGAACGGACTGGAACGGGGGTCAAGCTCTTTTAGAAATGCTTTTAATCACTTTTTATGAGTATTTCAGGGAGACATTGTTACCCTGGGGAATAACCTTGACTCTGAAAAGTTAGTGTTTTAAAAGAAGCTTACACCAAAATCAGAGTAAGATTTTAGAACAATGACAATATTATCGATAACCCGTTATGTGTGCTTTTGCTTTCAACATTGTCACATCCATTATCTTACTGATGCATTTTATGAGGTGGGCAGGGAAGGTAGTTTGAAAAAAATCTTTGCTAAGTCTTTAAGGTATAAGGTACTTTTACCATGGATGAACCTCTTGGAAGGGTCACTTTTGTACTTTAAAAGCTTTTCCTAAATAGTCTGAATGGGGCCAGAACATCCTTCACCCAGTCTGCCTTTGAGTCTTTGCTTTCTTCTTTGTGCTTCTTCCCCCACTCCCACCCTTACTGCTTCATCTCAGTTCTTACTCTGCTTTCTGTTTATTTTTCATTACAACCCTTCTGCTACTGAACTATCTTGATGAAGAGCTTCATCAAGAATGGGGATCTATTAAATGTGGTTACAAAGGAGCTGCAGCAGCCATTTTGCAACCATGAGGAAAAGCCAAGATAATACTCTTGATCTCATGGAACAGTTGCAGAAGTGATACTACTTCTAAATTTCTTGTTTATGTGAGACAAACGAACAAGTTTGTTTGAAAAGAGAAAGAATAGGACCCTACATGATAATGATAAATGACTTGTTCTATGAAAGGTGAAAATAAGTTTTGCTCTCCTTATATAACCCATGATGAGACTTTAGATGGTTGTATCTAAGAGCTGACAAAGTCCCCATTTCAGACCCTTCTCTGCCCTGAGTCTGCCCTGTCTGAGTCAGATACTAGGACTGAATTCACGGGCTTCTGCTCTTGGGCAGAGGGCGTGGGGAGTGAGTGGGACAGGAAGAGTGACTCACTTCTGCAGGTGGGCAGCATGTCACTCCACTGCCCGCTGGCCAAGCACTGGGACCTAGCAGCCCCCTCAGCCACATAACCAGGGTTGCAAACAAACTTGACCACATCGTTGAGGTTAAACTGGTTGCCCTGAGTGAGGCCATTGACAGGGTTGCCTGGGTGTCCACAGGTGATTGCTGTAATCAAAACAGAAGATAGGTGAACCCTCCCATACCATCAAAAATCATTCTCAGTTCGGATCTCTCATGCACATCAATGAAGTTCAGCCCTAAGTCTAACTTTAGTTTCTTTTGATGTAAAACATTTATTTCCTTAAATTGTCATGGGGAAATTCCATCTTGCTTGAAGGCATGTCCATAGTTTGGACAACTTGAGAAAAATCATTCCACAACTTTCCATGGTGCCTTAGGTTTGGACTGCAGCTGTCTGTGGTCTGAGTGGGCAGTCCTGTCTTATTTCTTCCGGGCTTCCTTGAGCTTCCCATCTTCATTCTTTACTGCCAGATATACTGATGACCAGCCATCGGCTGATTCAGACCCATCCTATTCGTAGGCCAAACTTGCAGAACCACAGTCAATGCTAACCAGGCCCAACGCAGAGTTCAGTTACCCTCCTAGACCAGTGGCCCTGGTAAGCTGCAGGGAACATTTCGATTAGGAGACTTGGAGTCAAGTAGGTTATCCTCCATAATGTGGGTGAGCCTTGTCCAATCAGTTGAAGGGCTTAACAGAAAAAGATTGGGCCAGGCATGGTGGCTTACCCCTAAGATCCCAGGACTTTGGGAGGCCATGATGGGAAAGATTGTTTGAGGCAAAGAGTTTGAGACCAGCCTGAGCAATATAGGGAGACTCTGTCTCTACAAAAAGTAGCAAAATTAGCCAGGTGTGGTTGTATGCACCTGTAGTCCCAGCTACTTGGGAAACGGAGGCAGGAGAACTGCTTAAACCCAGGAGTTAGAAGTTGCAGTGAGCTGTGATGACACCATTGCACTCTAGCCTGAGAAACACAGTGAGACCCTATTTCAAAAAAATAAATAAAAAAAGAAAGACAGAAAGAAAGGAAAAAGAGAAAGACAGAAACCCCTGGAAGAAGGGGGGAATCAACCAGAAGACTGCTTTCAAATTTGAACTGCAGCTCTTTCCTGGGTCTCCAGCCTATACTGAAGATCTTGGACTTGCCATTATACAGAAATGAGTGAGCCTGTTCCTTACTTGTTGGTTCTGTTTCTCTACAGAATGCCGAATGAATGCTGGCTGTGATGGGCTGGATTAGGCATCAGTGGAAGGAAAGCAGGGTGCTGATGAAGCTTGAGCACTTTGAAGGGTCTAATGCTCAGGAACATCTAAAGCAGACTTTGCTGAGGGCAGAGACCATGATGCATTCAGTTCATGATTATCCACAACACCTAGCACAGTGCCTGGCACGCAGGAGCTGCTGAATAAACATGTATGAATAAGGTCCTACAGACTGAGAGAAACGGTAGGAAGGGAAGGTCAGTGGTAACAGAGAAGAGAGTTAAAAATAGGCTGAGCTCACTAAGGAAGCAGGAGGGAGAGACCCAGAGACTGGGGAAGTGATCAGCCTTGGGCTGGGAGAGGACCTTTCCACAGAGGTGGGAAGGGAGAGGGCAAGGATGGATGCAGACAGTATGGATGTGTGTGGGGGGGAGTAGAAAGTGAAAGGAGCTATCGTCTGATGGCTTCTGTCACCTGTGCAACATGGAAAGCAGTACTGTACAACGAGCTGATCGTTGGGGTTTGTATGCACTGACTCCCTAAATCCTCACGACCCCATGAGGCAGGCTCTGTCACTACCCCCGCTGGAAAACAGAATTTCAGAGGAGTCAGAAGACTCATTTGAGGGGCACACTTTCTAAACTTGACTGAGTTTTGAATCCTACTTCTCTGATTCTAGGCTACCTTAACTATGCACTTTAGTTATTTGCTGAGAATATGGCCAGAGGCTGAGGAGCTTGGGTCTTCAGAAAAACGGTGAAATTGTGAAATCGTGTGTCAGCAAGGGGCAAGAGGGCCGAGTGGGAAGGAAGGGGCAAGAGGGACACATGGGAAGAGCCAGGAAGTTCTGAGAGTCTGGTTGAGACTGGAAACCTTGACTTTGTATGTGATGGCAGCTTACAACAGTGCCCAGCACGGAGGAAAAACAAACATGTTTTCTTTTACTGTTGCCTTCCTCCTCCAGATGCTTGGACTTGGTGTAAGAGATCCTGGATTCTGTGATGGGGCAGGGTGTCAGGGTCCCCGCCACCTCCCCCAGCATTATCATCAGCATCATAAGGACAACGACAACACAGTGACAACAAGGATGACAGCTGCTGCTGCTCAGATCTGTATCCCGAACTGTTCTAACCAGTTTATGGATGTATTGAATCCTCAGAATGGTTGTTGAGGTACCTGCTTTTGGTAGATAAGGAAAGGGAGACATAGGGAGGTAAACTGACTTGTCTGTAGTCACGTAGCCACAGAATATCTAGGGGTAAAGGTGAGCCGTGAGTCCCAGATGTGGGCATTCTGGGCCCACATCTGGGTGCCTGACGACTCCACACACTGCCCTTTAATACAGTTCAGTCTGAAAGGTACTATCAATGAGCCAGGCAGACATTCTCTATCCAGACCCTAACATTTTCTATTATTATTACCTAAATCTCAGCGCAGTGGAATTTGCATCTTCTGAAGGGAACTAATAAATATGTTTTGTTTAGACACATCTGACAGAGTGACTGAATATAAATGGGTCTTGCCTCCTCCTCCTCCTTCCTTTTTTTCTGAGACAAGGTTTTGCTATGTTGCCCAGCCTGGTCTTGAACTCCTAGGCTCAAGGGATTGTCTCACCTCAGTCTCTTGAGTAGCTAGGATTATAGGCATGCACCACTTTGCCTAGTTTGGGTCTTGCTTTCTGGAAAGCTAATACTTACGAAGTTATTAAGTCTAATTTTCATGCATTATTTATTGAGTAAGTTTCCATATTTTATGGCCCTATCCCATATACAAAAAGCCAAATGAAGAAGACTTCCAAGGCAAAAACCTGCCTTACAAAATTAAGAGGAAAAACCTATACTTTATTAAAAAAAAGCTTACTTTAATTTAAAATGTAAAAAGTGAAGGATTTTCCAAATTTCGTCCAGGCAGCCAAGGATAATGGTAGTCACTTAAATCCACATAAAATGCACATTAACAAGAAGAACAAACACAAGCATAGAAAACCCAGGCCTGCAGCACAACTAGAAGAGAGAGAATGCTACACATTTAAGTAGAGAAATACACACTAAACCCAGGCAGTTATTTCTCATACCTCAAGCTTTTCCAGACAGTAAGACTATAAGAAAAGAGGAGAGAGGAAGAGATGAAGGGACTAATGTTGACCTGAAATCACTGCTATAAAGAGTAAGTCCATCTGAAATGTGAACATACTGAGAAGAAATCCTGGAATGGTCACTACAAGAAAGGGACACAAAAGCGTGTGCTTCTGGAAGAAAAGAGATAGACAACCTTCTGGTGATAGAAAAAGAAGCAAAGACGGGAAAATTTGGGCTTCTGTAAGACAAAAGAGAAACCCCCTCTGCTCAACAAAGGGCACACAACTTTTCCCTTAACACACACACACACACACAAGTCTCCATTAAAAAAGAAAAGCAAAAAAGCCAAACAAATGAACAAACAAACAAACAAACAAACAAAAGCCAGGCAAACGTCCAAGGGAATTAGAATGAAAAAAAAGAAGTAAGAATGAGGCTGGGCGTGGTTACTCACGCCTGTAATCCCAGCAGTAGGGAGGTTGAGGTGGGTGGATTGCCTGAGCTCACAGGTTTGAGACCAGCTTGAGCCACAGTGAGGCCCCGTCTCTAAAAAGTAGCTGGGCACTATGGCAGGTGCCTGTAGTCCCAGCTACTGGGGAAGCTGAGGCAAGAGGATCCCTTGAACCCAAGAGTTTGAGGTTGCTGTGAGCTAAGATGCTACGGCACTCTACCAAGGGTGACCGGGAAAACCAACCAACCAAACAACAACAATAACCAAAAGAAGTAAGAATGAATCAGGGAGTAAGAATTTGTTACAAAGACAGAAGAGGGTACTCTCATAAACCACCATAAACTGACAACATGAATAAAGAGCATCAGCCTAAATCTAAACAAAGCCATTCTAAGAAAAAGTAGAGAAGAATCAAAAACATTTGAACTAATGGAAATCTACTCACCAAAAAACAAAACACATGAAGCATTTGGAGATATTAAAAAACCACCTTGAGAATCAGAAAATCAAAAACTGAAAGCACAAATGGACAAAAAGTGGGAAGAAAATAAAAGAGAACTGATTACTACGGGAAAGAAATAGAAGAAAAAAACAAAATCAACTGAGAAATAAAGACTAAATTGTTAAAGGCCCAAGGACAGTATCCTCACATGATAGCTTAATAAATTATTAAAGGAAGTCAGGCAATCAGCCAAAGGAATTAAAATGAGACAGAGAAATACAAAGGATCAGAGAGAAAGAGGCTCTTCTAGGAGACAGGCAAAGAAATTCCAACATTCACATAATCAGAGTTGACAAAGAAGTAAAACAAAACACTAGGCCAATACTAGCGTTTAAAACTATAACTTAAGAAAATGTTTCAGAAAGAAAAGAAGACCTGAATCTATATATTCAAAGGCCCACAAAATACCTGGGAAAATCGTCTTGAGACAGTCACTTCGAAGGCATAACCTAGTAAAAGTATTAGACTTTTTCAGGATAAAGAAAAAACAATAATCAGGGCCCCCAGAAAACCACCAAATAGCCTACCAGAAAAACAGATGTAAACTAACGTTATAATTCTAAAGGTCAGATAAATAAAAGTGGAGAGAACAGTGGTTCTGGGCTGGGAGGGAGTAGGGGAAATACAGAGATGCTGGTCAAAGCATATAAAGTTGCACTTATGCAGGGTGATTAAGTCTAGAGATCGCAGGCACAGAATGATGACTATAGTTAGTAATAATCATATGTGGGAAATTTCCTAAAGTGTAGATTTCAGGTGTCCTCATCCACCCCATCATACAAAGGTAACTATGTGAGGAGATGGACATGTTAATTTG